ACAGTCTCCTGTCCCCCTTGGTATCCGTGGGTAAACCCCCTCCCTTCACGTCTCCCCTTTCCCCTTTGTATCCAGTGGGTAACCCCCTCCCTTCACAGTCTCCTTTCCCCTTTGTATCCAGTGGGTAAACCCCTCCCTTCACGTCTCCTTTCCCCCTTGTTATCCGTGGTAACCCCCTACACCTTCAACGTCTCGCTTTCCCCTTGTTATCCGTGGGTAAACCCCCTCCTTCAACGTCTCCTTTCCCCTTGTTATCCATTGTGTCAACCCCCCCATCCCTTCACTCTCCTTTCCCCCTGTTAACCAGTGTGTAAAACCCCCTCCCTTCACTTCTCCTGTCCCTTGGTACCAGTGGGTAAAACCCCTCCCTTCACGTCCTCCCTGTACCCCTTGGTATCCAGTGGGTAGAACCCCCCCCTTCACGTCTCCTTTCCACTTGGTATCCATGGGTAAACCCCTCCCTTCAACTCTCCTGTCCCCTTGGTATCCAGTGGGTACAACCCCCACTCCTTCAGTCTCCTTCCCCTTGGTATCCAGTGGGTAAAACCCCCTCCCTTCACCGTCTCCTTATCCCTTAAACCCCCATCCCTACGTCTCCCTGTCCCCTTAGAACCCCCTCCCTCACTTCTCCTTTCCCTTAAACCACCCCTCACCTTCACTTCTCCTGTCCCCTTTTATCCAGTGGGGTAAACCCCTCCTTTCACGTCTCCTTCCCCTTGTTATCCATGGGTAACCCCCTCCCTTCAAACGTCGTCCTTTCCCCCTTGTTTTATCCCGTGGTAAACCCCCTCCCTTCACGTCCCTTTCCCTTGTTCTCCAGTGTGTAAAACCCCCTCATTCAAATCACGTCTCCTTTCCCCTTGTTATCCGTGTGTAAAACCCCCTCCCTTCACGTCTCCTGTCCCTTGTATCCAGTTGGTTAAACCCCCTCCCTTCAACGTCTCCCTGTCCCCATTGGTATACATTGGGTAAACCCAAACCCCCCCACGCCCATTCAACGTCCTTCCTTTTCCCCTTGTATCACAGTGTGTAAAAACCCCCCCTCCCTTCACGTCTCCTGTCCCCTTGGTATCCATGGGTAAAAACCCCCTCAAAACCCTTCACGTCTCCTGTCCCCTTGGTATCCAGTGGGGATAAACCCACTCCCTTCAACGTCTCCTTTCACCCCCCTTGGTAATCCGTGGGTAAAACCCCCCCCTCCCTTTTCACTGTCTCCTTTCCCCTTAAACCCCCTCCCTTCACGTCTCCTTTCCCCTTCAACAACCCCCTCCCTTCACGTCTCCTTTTCCCCTTAAAAACCCAACCCCCTCCTTCCCTCTTCACGTCTCCTTTCCCCCTTAACAACCCCACCCCCTCCCTCCTCACGTCCCTTTCCCCCTTGTTATCCAGTGGGTAAACCCCCCCTTCCATCTCCTGTCCCCCTTGTTTATCCAGTGGGTACAAACCCCCTCCCTTCACGTCTCCTTTCCCCTTGTTATCCAGTGGGTAAACCCCCTCCCTTCACGTCTCCTTTCCCCTTGGTATCCAGTGGGTAAAACCCCATCCCCTTCACGTCTCCTTTCCCCTTAAAAAACCCCCTCCCTTCACGTCTCCTGTCCCTTGTTACCATTGTGTAAACCCCCTCCCTTCAACTCTCCTGCCCCTTGGTATCCAGTGGGTAGACCCCCTCCCTTCACCTATCATCCTGTCCCCTTGGTATACAGTGTGTAACCCCCTCCCTTCACAGTCTCCTGTCCCCCCTTTGTATCCAGTGTGTAAACCCCCTCCCTTCACGTCTCCTTCCCCTTGTATCCATTGGGTAAAACCCCCTCCCTTCACGTCTTCCTTTCCCCTTGGTTCCAGTGGGTAAAACCCCCGCCTTCAACAGTCCTCCTGTCCCTTGGGTATCCATGGGTAAACCCCCTCCCTTCACGTCTCTTTACCTTCCCCCTGTTTTATCCAGTTGTGTAAACCCCTCCCATTCACGTCTCCTGTCCCTTGGTATCCAGTGGGGTAAAACCCCCCATCCCGTTCACGTCTCCTGTCCCCTTGTTATCCATTTGGTAAACCCCCTCCCTTCACGTCGTCCTTTACCTTGGTATCCAGTGGGTAACCCCCTCCCTTCCGTCTCCTTTCCCATTGTTTCCAGTGTGTAAACCCCCTCCCGTCACGTCCCTTTCTTCTCCCTTGGTATCAGTGTGTAAAAACCCTCCCTTCACGTCTCCTGTCCCCCTTGTTAATCACAGTCTGGGGAACCCCCTCCTTCACGGCTCCTTCCCTTGTTATACAGTGGGTAACACCACCCTCCTTCACGTCTCCTGTTCCCCTTGGTTATCCAGTGGGTAAACCCCCCCCCTCCCTTCATCACGTCTCCTTTCACCTTGGTATCCAGTGGGGTCAACCCCCTCCCTTCACGCCCTCCTTTCTTCCCCTGTATTCCGTGGGTAAACCCCCCTCCCTTTCAACTTCACGTCTCCTTTCCCCTTGTTATCCAGTGTGTAAAAACCCCCTCCCTTCACGTTCTCCTGTCCCCTTTGTTATCCAGATGGAGTAAACCCCCCCTCCCTTCAACGTTCTCCTTTCCCCTTTTATCCAGGTGTAAAACCCCCCTCCCCTCCCTTCAGTCCCTGTCCCCGTGGTAATCCTTGGTAAACCCCCTCCCTTCACGTCTACCTGTCCCACTTGGAATCCACGTGGGGTAAACCCCCTCCCTTCATCCCTTCACGTCCCTGTCCCCTGGGTATCCAGGTGGTAGCCCCCTCCCTTCACTCTCGCTGTCCCCTTGGTATCCAGTGGGGGTTAAAAACCCCCTCCCTTCACGTCCTCCTGTCCCCTTGTATCGTGGGTAACCCCCTTTTTTTCCTTCACGTCTCCTGTCCCCTTAGGGATCCAGTGGGTAACCCCCCTCCCTTCACGTCATCCTTCCCTTGTTATCCAGTGGGTAAAACCCCCCATCCCTTCACGTCTCCCTTTTTTCCCCTTGTATCCAGTGTTTAAAACCCCCTCCCTATCCACGTCTTCTGTCCCCTTGTATCCCGCATGTGAAACCCCCTCCCCTTCACGTCTCTCCTTCCCTGGTATCACAGTGGGTAACCCCCTCCCTTCACGTCTCCTTATTCCCCTTGGTATCCAGTGTGTAAACCCACCCCCTCCCTCACGTCTCCGTTTCCCCTTGGTATCCAGTAGGGAAACCCCCTCCCTTCACGTCTCCTGTCCCCGGTTGGTATCCAGATGGGTTACCCGCACCCGCCCTTCACGTCTCCTGTCCCCTTTGGTATCCCAGTGGGTAACCCCCCTCCCCTTCACGCTCCTGTCCCCTTGGTTCCCAGTGGGTAAAACCCCCTCCCTTCAGGTCTCCTGGCCCCGTGGTAGCCATGGTAAACCCCCTCCCTTCACGTCTCCTGTCCCCCTTTGCTTATCCAGTGTTTAAACCCCCTCCCTAGTCATCGTCTCCTGTCCCCTTGGTATCCTTGAGGTAAAGAACCCCCTCGCCTTCCACTCTCCCTTTCCCTTGGTATCGCAGTGGGTAAACCCCCGCCCTTCACACGTCTCCCCTCCCCTTGGTAGCCATTGGTAAACCCCCTCCCTTCACGTCTCCTTTCCCTGTTTATCCCATTGGGATAAAACCACCCTCCCTTCACGTCTCCGTCCCCTTGTTTATCCATTGGAGGTAAACCAACCCTCCCTTCACGTCGCCTTTCCCCTTTGTTATCCAGTGTGGTTATCACCCCCTCCCTTCACATTCTCCTTTCCCCTTGGGTATCCAGTGTGTAAAACCCCCTCCCTTCACGTCTCCTGTCCCCTTGGTATCCAGTGGTCAACCCCCTCCCTTCATCCCGTCTCCTTTTCCCCTTGTTATCCAGTGGGTAAACCCCCTCCCGTCACTCTCCTGTCCCCTGGTATCCATGGGTACACCCCCTCCCTCACTTCTCCGTCCCCCTTACAACCCCCTCCCTTCACGTCTCCTTTCCCCTTGGTATCCAGTGGGTAAAACCCCTCCCTTCACGTCTCCTGTCCCCTTGTTATCCAGTGGTAAACCCCCTCCCGTCACGTCTCCGTCCCCTTTGTTATCCATTGGGTAAACCCCCAAAAACCCCCCCCCTCCCCTTCACGTTCCTGTCCCCGTGGATCCGTGTGTAAACCCCCTCCCTTCACTCTCATTTCCCCTTGTATCCTGTGGTAAAACCCCTCCCTTCACGTCTCCTGTTCCCCCATTGGTATCCAGTTGGGTAAACCCCTCCTTCACGTCTCCTGTCCCTTGTTTTATCCAGTGTGTAACCCCTCCCTTCAGGTCACGTCTCCTGTCCCCTGTATCCCCGTGGGTAAACCCCCTCCCTTCATTCCCCTTCTCCCTGTCCCCTTGGTATCCAGTGGGTAAACCCCCTCCCTTCCGTCTCCGTCCCCTTGTTTTATCCAGTTTGTAAACCCCCTCCCTTCACGCTGTCCCCCCTTGTACCAGTGGGTAAAACCCCCTCCCCTTCACGTCCTCTCCTTCTTCCCCCTTTGGTATCCAGTGGGTAAACCCCCTCCCTTCACGTCTCCTTCCCCTTGGTATCCATTGGTACACCCCTCCCTTCACGTCTCCTTTCCCCTTGTTTATCCGTTGGTAAACCCCCTCCCTTCAACTCTCCCTTTCCCCTTGTTTCTCCAGTGGGTAAACCCCTCCCTCAACGTCTCCTTTCCCTTGTTTCCAGTGGGTAAACCCCCTCCCCTTCACGTCTCCTTTCCCCTTGTTATCCAGTGTGTAAAACCCCCTCCCTTCACGTCTCCTTTCCCCTTGTTAGCCAGTGTGTAAAACCCCCTCCCTTCACGTCTCCTGTCCCCTTGGTTATCCAGTGGGGTTAAAACCCCCTCCCCTTCACGTCTCCTTTTCCCCTTGGTAATCCAGATGGGTAAACCCCCTCCCGTCACGTCTCCTGTCCCCTTGGTATCCAGTAAGTAAACCCCCTCCCTTCACGTCTCCTGTCCCCTTGGTATCCAGTGTTCCATAACCTTTATTTAATGATTCTGTCACTATAGGGGACCTGTGGAGCTATGACTTCTACAGCGGAGAGTTTGTGGTGTCCCCAGAGCCAGACACCTGTGTTCTGACCCTTGACCCCCATAAACACCGTTACATCATCCTGGGCAGTGACGGGCTGTGGAACATGGTGCCCCCCCAGGACGCCGTCTCCATGTGCCAGGATAACGATGAGGCCATGGTGAGTTGTGGTGCTACGTCCTGTTCACCAGGGTAAAACATTTTTGCAATGAGAAACAAAACAAATCTGTTTCTTATTGGTTTAGGGTAGCACCTCCCTTTAGGTAGGACCTCCGTAATTATTTGAATACCAACATGATGATACATTAAAAAACCACACAACTACTGTAAACAACCTTAGGCGTCGTGCGGGGTGTCCAGCGCTCGCCAGCTGGTGAGCCACGCCCTCCTGAGGTGGCGCCAGAGGATGCTGCGTGCGGACAACACGTCGGCCATCGTGATCGCCCTGCAGGAGCCCGGCGTCCCCCAGGAGCCCCTCCACCATGAGGAGGTGCTGCTCAACCTGGCCGAGGGACAGCACTGTGGCCCCACATCGGGCTCCCGCTCCAACACACCACTCATCAAGGTACAGAGCAGAGGGACTCGTAAGACTGTGTCCCAAATGGTTTCTATTCCCTATATAGTGCACTGCTTTTGACCAGGGCCCTATGGGAAAATAGGGAGCAATTTGGGACAAAGGCTAAATCATAATACTACTTCATTACTACGTTACTACTGTATGAAATGCTCTCTCTCTCCCCCCTCTCCCCTCTCTCTCTCCCACCCTCCCCCTCTCTCCCTCTCCCCTCTCCTCCCCCCCTCTCTCTCCCCCCTCTCTCTCCCCCCTCTCTCTCTCCCCCCCTCTCTCTCCCTCCCCTCTCTCCCTCTCCCTCTCTCTCTTCCCCCTCTCCCCCCTCTCTCTCCCCACCCTCTCTCCCGACGCTCTATCTCCCCCCTCTCTCTGAGAACCTTCTGATCTCTCTCTCCCCCCCCTCTCCTTCTCCCCTCTCGCTCTCTCCCTCCCTCTCGTCTCCCCCTCCCTCTCTCCCTCCACTCTACTCTCGCGCTCTCTCTCCTCCCATCTCCCTCTCTCTCTCTCCCCCTCTCTCTCTTCTCTCTCTCTCTCTCGCTCTGTCTCTCTCTCTGTCTCTCTCTCTCTCTCGCTCTCCCTCTCTCCCTCTGTCGCTCCCCTCCCCACCTCCCCCCCACCTCTCTAGGTTCCAGACATGGACATGCCGTCTGCTGTGTGTGAGCTCCTCCCGACCCTGGAGCGGGGAAACGGCCTATCAGGGAGCAGCCTGTACGCCCTGGCCCTATCAGATCCCTTCGGCCCGCCCCTCTCCGACTCGGACGACGACTCCCGCACCGGTTTTCCCTTGACGACAGACAGCCCCACCCCGGGGGAGGAGCTTAGCGATGTCACTGCCAGGACACACGGCGGCCAAACGGACGCTGGATGAGACGTCGGCCAACCCCGTCCCGTCCGCCAAGAGGACCCGGAGGAAGAATGGCGCGAGAACGCTGGCAGGAGCAGCGGGGGCAAAAGGCAGTGGAGGAAAGGACCAGAAACAGACTCCGACTCCGCCCCCCACGCTACTCCAGCAGCAACGCGGCAAGGCCACCGTCTGTGTGTGCTGAGAGAGAGACTCACACACACACCCTCTCTCACACACTCTGCAGATGGACAAACAGGGACACAAGACAGACAATAACATTCTGCCTCTTCTTCCACAACCTTTTACAAACGACTACTGACTGAGAGACCAGTCACTTTCAGGATCGTAGTCTGTCTCTGGAGTGACACCTACTGGCCACGTTGATGAATTGCATATTGGCATTGTGTTGTGCGCTCTCTTTACTCCTCTCTGTTTTCTTTCAGCTTACTCTGTTCCCTGGGATGGGTGGAGAATGATTTTAAGTGCTGGTCTGTCATTTTAATTATTTTTTAACCCTCCGTAAGTAACTCTGTGATATAAAAGAAAGGAAAACAATTTTCTGGCTGCAAAACAGCTCTTGCGACGCATTAAAAACGTTTTCCCAAAAATAACCAAAACATTTGGGGTCGACGGACACTTCCAAAAAAATCGTTTGGAATACTGCATCTGGTAATTGCAACGCATGAAAGTCCACATAAAGCTATAAGATATCTCTCACTCCCACTATGACATCGTGAATATTTTTTTGTTTTTTGTTTTTTTGCAGAGTTTAGTGCTGTTTTGCGGACAGAAAATCACCCAAAGTATGAATTTGTCCAATCTGTAAATATTCTGCAAATCTTGACGTGGGGTTCATTGATAAGTACATGTGTTACTTACTTTAAAGTAAAGCAATATATTTTTATACATTGTTTTATTTGACTATTGTAGAAGCTACAGAAGAGGATAACCAACCATTTTAGATTCAATACATTTCCGCCATCACCTAAATTCACACGTTGTCCTAATAATCTTGATATTCACTTGATATTGTCATAATCTTGACATTCAATCCCCCTTTATGGTTTCACTATGCCCGATCCTGGTTTTAAAATGGGATTTATATGTGTTGTGTTTTCGATTTGTGTATTCTGTTATTTCTTCACATATTGAATGAGATCATCCCAAACTGAAGGTGCTGTTACAGTTAAAACTAATGAACTAATAATTCATTAATAGTTGAAGAAGGTGAACTGTATAATATAGTCAGTCAGGATGTTGTTGTTCCCTCTGTCAGATGAGATCACATGACACCTTGTGGCCATTACCTGTAACTGCAATGCTTTGCCTATTGGTCCCTTTCTGCTATGTTTTACCCCCCAACAACAACATCTGCAGAAAATGAACTGTAGGGAAATACACACGCTCCAGTTGAGTCCAGGGGTTCTGCTGTCTGCAGTGGTCTTAGAGAAAAGGGTTGTTGGGAACTAGCTAGTTGTCAATATACATTAGTTTTTTAGTTTTTTAGAGGGGTTTGAATTCGGGAAGAATACTGGGGGAAAAGGTGTTACTTAAAATAACTTTTATTTGATTCTCAAGTTGATTTGACTTGGGAGTAGGACTGATAGGCTTGACTTCTTTTGAGTGACATCAATGTTCTATTTAAAAAGCAGTCAGACGCTTCGTCTTCATTTACCTACACGGATGTTACTTTCATGTATGAATGATGTGATCAAAGTTAAAAGCATTGTTTCATTAATTTGACCCGTTTTTCCTCACGTAGCTGCTGCTGTGATTACAGTGCATCAGACGTTTGACAGTACTGGTGTTTTTAGGAAAGGTCTGCCGACTGCCACATGACAAGCTCTCGTTAAAATATTCAGCATTTTCCGTGTGTAGTTTTTAGTTTTTCTAGACCAAAGTGCAATTTTAACTGGCAATTTGTAGCGTTTTTATTTGTTGTTTTTATTTCCTAGTAGGCCTGTATTTGTTTTAGTTATTTTTACTCCGTTTTGTTGGATTTAAAAATGTCATTTTTTTTAGGTGAAGTGCTACTGGTGTGTGACATTCTACCAGAACATATTTTCTGTTACTTTGTTGGTGATGGTTTTTTTGCATAATGTTTTTAGGAAAATTCTTGGTGGTTTCCCAAATTGCACCCTATTCCATATGTAGTGCACTACTTTTGACCACAGTGCATTCGGAAAGTATTCAGACCCCTTGACTTTTTCCACATTTTATTATGTTACAGCCTTATTCTAAAATTGATTAAAATCGTTTTTTTTTCTTCCCCTCATCAATCTACACACAATACCCCATAATGACAAAGCAAAAAACTAGTTTAGACATTTTTTGCAAATTAAAAAATACATAAAAATGTAAATATAACATTTACATAAGTATTCAGACCCTTTACTCAGTACTTTGTTGAAGCACCTTTGGCAGTGATTACAGCCTCGAGTCTTCTTGGTTTCCAGGTAAAGTGATTCATTTTCCAGGTTCATTTAGTTGCGTGATGGTATCCTGCCCTGCTTGGCGCTGACATAGCTGTGCTGGCAGCAACTAGTGCATGTCTACAGTGTTCATTTGGAAAAGAAACACCACTTGTTTTGAATTGGAAAAATATATGAAATAAAAATATGCTTTCTGAGTGGTGTCTTCTTGACTTATTGGGGGGGGGGGGTTTCAAAGTACACCATGTAGCTCAATAACAATTACTGTATATACACTTTCATAAAGATGGAATTTAAGATAGAAATCTAATTGAAAGAATACCAGTTACAACACATTTTGGCACAGGACCAGAGGAGACATTTAGGATGTGCACCCACGAACTCAGTACATTACACTGTCCCAGAAGAAAGCATACGTCACAAATGGCACCCTATTCCCAATGAACAGCGAAACTGCAAAAAAGACAACCTAGAATGCCACCTGATCTGTGACAACGACACTGTATTATACCTGTCCTTTACCAACAATACTGTATTAACCTGTCCTGTACCAACGATACTGTATTAACCTGTCCTGTACCAACGATACTGTATTAACCTGTCCTGTACCAACGATACTGTATTAACCTGTCCTTTACCAACGATACTGTATTAACCTGTCCTGTACCAACGATACTGTATTAACCTGTCCTTTACCAACGATACTGTATTAACCTGTCCTGTACCAACGATACTGTATTAACCTGTCCTGTACCAACGATACTGTATTATACCTGTCCTTTACCAACGATACTGTATTAACCTGTCCTGTACCAATGATACTGTATTAACCTGTCCTGTACCAACGATACTGTATTAACCTGTCCTGTACCAACGATACTGTATTAACCTGTCCTGTACCAACGATACTGTATTATACCTGTCCTTTACCAACGATACTGTATTATACCTGTCCTGTACCAACGATACCTGTACAGAAGGTGGCAACCGTGGGCACGTTGTGTGATAAAGTCATTGGTCGGAAGCTTCATATAGTCATTGGTCGGGAGCAGAGAGAGTGTAATATTTACTGTTCACTTTAGTTTATTATCTATTTCACTTGCTTTGGCAATGTTAACATATGTTCCCCATGTCAATAAAGTCCCTTGATTTGAATTGAGAGAGCAGTAGAGAGGGATCTTGCAAACGATCGGGGATGAAGGACAAAACATGAGATTGTTTGTTTTTGTTTATAAACTGGGTGGTTCGAGCCCTGAATGCTGATTGGCTGACAGCCAGTGGTTGTTTTTGTCTAATCAATCCCCTTGAATCGTTCTCTTTTTTCCTCTGAGCTGGAAGCAAAAGGCCTCAGATTTTCACTTCATCACTTATAGTCGGTCGGTTGCGGATGGGTTATTAGCAATTGCTGGCGGGTGCTGGTGAACAAATCTTATCAAATTGTATTGGTCACATACACGTGTTTAGCAGATGTTATTGCTGGTGTAGCGAAATGCTTGTGCTTCTAGCTCCGACAGTGCAGTAGTATCTAACAAGTAATATCTAACAATTTCTCAACATATACCCAATACACACAAATATAAGTAAGGAATGGAATTAAGAATATATACATATATGGACGAGCAATGACAAAGCGGCAGTGACTAAGATAAAGTAGAATAGTATAGAATACAGTATATACATACACTACCAGTCAAAGGTTTGGACACACCTACTCATTCAAGGGTTTTCTTTATTTTTACTATTTTCTACATTGTAGAATAATAGTGAAGACATCAAAACGATGAAATAACACATATGGAATCATGTAGTAACCAAAAAAGTGTTAAACAAATCAAAATATATTTTATATTTGAGTTTCTTCAAATAGCCACCCTTTGCCTCGATGACAGCTTGACACACTCTTGCCATTCTCTCAACCAGCTTCATGAGGTAGTCACCTGGAATGCATTTCAATTAACAGGTGTGCCTTCTTAAAAGTTCATTTGTGGAATTTCTTTCGTTCTTAATGCGTTTGAGCCAATCAGTAGTGTTGTGACAAGGTCGGGGGGGTATACAGAAGATAAGCCCTATTTGGTAAAAGACCAAGTCCATATTATGGCAAGAACAGCTCAAATAACGACAGTCCATAATTACTTTAAGACATGAAAGTCAGTCAATACGGAAAATTTCAAGAACTTTGAAAGTTTCTTCAAGTGCAGTCGCAAAAACCATCAAGCGCTATGACGAAACTGGTTCTCATGAGGACCGCCACAGGAAAGGAAGACCCAGAGTTACCTCTGCTGCAGAGGATAAGTTCATTAGAGTTACCAGCCTCAGAAATTGCAAGGGTGTGTGGAGGGAAGGAGAGACCGTAGTGTCGTCAATGGTGAGGGTGAAGTTGCCAGCTTTGGTGAGGGTGGATTTGGTGTCTATGAGGAAGAGTTCGGTTCTATCACTGTTGAGCTTGAGGAAGTGTTGTTGCATCCATGTTTTTATTTCAGAGAGGCAGGATTCAATGTGGGTCAGAGGTGGGTTGAGGAGGGATTTGGTACTGATCTGTGTGTCATCGGCATAGCAGTGGAAGTCAAGGTTGAAGTAACGGAGGATGTGACCAAGATGTAGGTGATGAAGAGTTAGGGTTAGGGTTAGGGGACCCAGCACAGAGCCCTGGGGGACACCCTGTAGAACTGCAGCTTAGTCTGAGGTGTAGCCATTGAGGGAGATGTAGTCGGTTTGTGAGGTATGATTGTAGCCAGGAGACATTGAGGGAGATGTAGTCGATTTGTGA